AACACTCACATACTATAGTGAGTCACACCCCCAGGCATGCGTGGATGAGTAAATACAGTAGACTTACATGCCATTGGTGGGTCGGCAAATTAGTGCGCTCCAATCTACCCCTGACCTGCGCGTCGACTGAGCAAAAACGAAAGACTCTTCTCAAACGTAAGGTATTAGCCACACCCGTAGACACCACTTTGTCTAAGTCACACCACGTGAGGTTGACGGACGTTTCTGGTAGCTTGCATGCAGCTAGCTTCAGTGTCTCATTGTGGAGCACACTTCACGTCCGGTCTCCTGCTCGCAACAGTGAGCAATATGAACGCGGATGGATAATCTCCGGCCCCCCAGTTCTGTCTTGTGCGTCTTGCTGCCGCATAAGTGATTGGGTGGGTTAAAGTACTTCCTCAACCATCCATGAATGCCGCGTGCTAGCGGACTAACACGCGTGTTAGTCAGCACCGCATCCTACAGTGACTGAGCTCACGTGTTGTTTTGACGTCCCCGCGTGCATCAAGGGGTTTGTTGGGTGAACGCAAAACCTAAACGCTTACGGCTTGAGTTGAATATACTCATGGAGGAACGTGATTTGCTTAAGGAGATTCTTGATTCCGTTATGGATTCAGTTTACGCGGAAAAGGTATAGTAAAGATCACAAGGTCATCCGTCTGGAAGGTTCACGTGATAAAAGTTGACATTGTGTGCGCATCATCGCGTTCTACGCGTCCAGCGGTCGATCCGGACTTGTGGTCACATGTTAGTGGGGAAAATTCCAGTGCTGAAAATTGTAACAACTGCTTACAATGTTCTGATGCTAGTGGAGGTAAAACGTCTGCAATTTCTAACCGAATCTTCTCAAATGTTCTAGTTGAGCTTGTTGGAAAGCACCAGAAGCGCTCTTTTGAATGAGGCTAAACGTTGGAGTGGATTCAAGCAGCAGGTAATTGCTCGCATGTGTTTCCGCTGGAGCTCTGCGAGAACAGCAGCCGGGTTGCATCTGTGATGTGAAGAAGATAAATGCTTAAAATTAAACCCGCCAGATGAAGCTGGTAAATCCAACTCGAGTGTGTGTAAGTATGCCATATTGCGTTCAGTGGGTGAAGAGTAAATCCGAAAAGACATAACATTCAGAAACTCTGCTACGGGTCAGTGTTGGGCACTAACTGACGTGTCACTAAATTCTAGTCGCCTAGATGTGCAGCCGAGTAAGTGTGGTGTTATCTACCTTACTTTATAAAGCCAAGTGATCCTCATAACAACTGTAGTGGAATATTTTACCTTATTTACATGCTATTTGACCATGGAGTTATACTAGTTCTCTAGGGTCTGTTACGCATTTTAATGTCCCGATGTGACAAGGGAGATGTTTTGCAAAACCTCACATTAACTTTCCAGAGGCTACATAAACCAGTGAAGGTTGATAGATAAGTTTGGGTCCAAACCAAATTTTAGGGTTGGTTTCTACTTTTTTCAACAGAAAACTCGATAAATAACGATGCTCCTTGTTATACTTATCACATTGCTATTTACATTTTGTGACCCCAAATTGATTGATCCTGGATAATTACGGAGTTTTCTATCTTACAGGGATTGAAAGCAACAAGTTACCTGTTGCTTAACAATATATCGGGTTATCGAAAACTAGATTATTGTGTGCCTTCCAGTTTTCTTTGAGCACTGGGCTAATTTGTCTTCGACTTGTTAGCTGTCTTCGGCAAAGTCGCATTTATCAACAGCAATTGTACCTTATTTTTAAAACATCAACAAGAAGGCATTGTGCTTCCTTTTACAAACACTTCACATTACGCTCAACAAAGAACATGCCGATTAAAGACCAACTATGCTGCATTATATTTCGGACAACACTATGCAACTGAGGCGGCGTTTGGCTTTTTGTATACCTTAATCCATACGAGTAAAGTTATCCACATCTTGACACGTATGCCTATGTACCAAGTGTTAGAATGGAAGCTGATTTGCAGATGGAGCAGAGAATAAGTTAGTAGATACAGGATCAGGCAATTGTAGCCTAAAGCTTGGTTCCCTCAGCCAGCTGGACTGGATGAGCAATTTATTATTGGCTCAGCCTGGCGCAAATGAGATTCAGCGATTAAAAAAAATTAGGAATGGATTGGTTTGGTTTCTCTTGGCTTGAGAAATCACATAAGGGTGATAAGTGCGATTTTTTATGTGAGGACGATCCACAGTGGCCCTACAGTCCAAGTTTATTTAGAGTCCACTGTCAAAATTTATTCTTAATTACGATTCCCTGACCGCTACACAGACCCTGTAGCGTTGATTAGACCATGTGCGAAATGCGTTTCCAAAGGTCAACTAATCGGAACACAACACGGAAACACCTGTGAATTTATAAGTTGCGTGAACAAGGGCAATCCACAATAGTTATTAATACAATACCTTAAACGCATTTCCAAACAACACATCCTTTTACAATTTGTCAGGTAGAGTGCACTACTAGGTATATATCGCTACAAACTCTGATTTTCCAAATATGTCCACAATAGGTAAACCCATCCAATGTTGGATCCCCCAGGAGTTTACACGTGGATGGGAGGAATATGCAGAAAATTATTGCTGGGTTGCGAATACCTACTTTGCACCTGTACAGCATCGTCTTCCCCCAGTGCCAGACCGACGCGAACTACTACTGGTGTATTATCAGTGGGCGCCAATTGTTCTGGCGGCTCAGGCGCTGCTGTTCTATATACCATGTCTGACGTGGCGGCTGTACATGGCACAATCGGGTTTCAACCTGCAGAGAATTTTGCAAATGGCGGCTGAAACGAATGAATTAATGCCGGAGACAGCGAACAGGACGGTGTCTATATTGGCAAACTACATCCGTACT